AGGGATGATTAGCCATCAAACTTCTGGCCAGAGAAACACGTAATATGTAGCCAACATTTAGAAGAAAAATGTTTTCAAGATGACTTGGATAATAGCGCGTTGTGACAAACACCAGATACAGCACTGGGACTTGATCAACAGCCGATACCGCACCGTGACGTCACAAACCAGTAGGTGGCAGTAGTGTTCTTTGACAAACATGGATGCCTCCAGTAAAGCACATTCACATGAAATTTACTCTGAATTAAAAACACTGATTTATTTGGCAAATCCTGCTGTTAAAGCAGAGCTACGCGTCAATTTGCCAGAACCTTTTACACTGTGCAAACAAGTTCTTCCAGATTGAAGAGTCCGACTTTGCGCCATCTCTCGGCGCCCATTCCGACGTGTGAATTTTGGACGTGCAGTGTAATAGTTTAGATGGCATCAGAGCGTCAGGCCGCACGGTGGAAGAACAAACATCGAGAGCGGAGAACTTTTCCCCCTGGGTTTTTCGTTGAACAGTTTGAGCTGGAGTGCAAAGATCGAAAACATCGCACAGTGTATGCCTGGCTTGGACAGTCAAGGTTCCTTTCTTTATTTGGATGCACTTAGCTCCACCCTTTAACAACTTCCTGTCAAAACATCAAAATGGTGACATTTGAAAAATGTGCTTTGCAGATGTCTAAAGGAGTTCCTGAAGACAGATGGAGGAATCAGAGTCTCGGACCTCAACAAGATACCAGCTACCTTTTAGATCAGTTGGCAGTAAGAAAGATACAATTAAACATAAAAGGAGCTGGAAGTTGATGTTAATCTGGACATAAAAAGTTATTTGATGAAGCCTTGATAACGTGTGCAGAAAGAGACGCACCTTTGGATGCCACTCCATCTCAGCATCGACTGGCTTTACCCCACACACCACTATCTCTACAGCTTGGTGGGGCAGAGAATGAAACTGCTCTGGGAGCTCGAGGACCTGATAGGATTTGACCTCCACTTCCTTTCCGATATCAACGAACCGAACAGAGATGCTGTTAAACAGGCTCTCACCGGGGTCAGGTACCGACAGGATCTTCACCCTGCCAGGAAACACACAGCCTCATCACAGAAACACAAACAGACATCATTTCTCAACCATGTCTACACATTTCCTTGGTTAAACATGCAACTGTTAAACAGGGTTTCCATAAAGGGCAGACTGAGAGGTCAGAGCAGAAGCGGACAATTTCATCTTTTACAAGTGCAGCCTTGAAAAATAGTAAAAATGACTATAAATTAACAGTTCTAACATTTTTTAATATATATATATATATAAATGATAAAATATAATAAATATAATGATAAAATACAATACAATAACCCATTTTACAGAACATTCATCAGTCTGATGGTGAGAGGAAGCTGTTGCAGAACCTGCTGGTCCTGCATTGAATGCTGTGAAGCCTCTTCCCAGAGGGCAGCAGGGAGAACAGTCCATGGTGGGGGGGTGAGGGGTCATTTATGATGTTACGGGCTAGGGACACGCAGCGCTGGGATGAAAAGTCTTTAACGGAGGGAAGAGGAGCCCCCATGATCCTCTCTGATAATCCCTGCTGGTCTTGGAAATTGTTAAACCGTCAGAGTTGGAATTCAACTCTTTCAAACACACACGAAAAATAGTGGCTGTTGTTGTGCCATATGGCGTGATCATACTTTTTGGACATTGGGAACCAGTGTCCATATTACATCTTGACAGAATGACCAGAGGAGAACATGCAGCTTTGGTGAATAACAGCTGGGGGACTTCTGCAGCCCCCCCTTTTCAGCCAAAGCAGTTACAGGCAAGTCACAGAGGTGTCACTCTTTCATTTATTGTTCTAACACTAGTAGGGCTGTGTGTCATAAACAATATATAACAGCCAAAATAATATCTGATTAAATAATATATTTAACCCCCCCTACGGGGGAGGGCAATAAAACATCTTAAAGTATCAGAAAGATAAATTCCCAGCTGGCTGGGAATAGAAAAGAACATAAAATCACAACAGTGTTTTCACAAGAACGCGAGTATGGACTCGTGTCCTCTCCAAGTCTGTTCTTGAGAAGAACCCAGGAAAGTCTGAACTCTGGGGGAACAGGAGCATGCAGAATAATCTGGGTCAATTGGAACAGAAGCGTACTGATGACATCACCACATTCAAAGCTAGTCTGGAGCTGCATTTCACCTCCTGTTATTAATAGTCTCTAGATTATAATAAATTATGACTTTTTTCATTTATTGGGGGAATAATAATTAACACAGTCAGATAAACACAGACAAAATTAACAATTTGCCAAATACAACAAAAAATGCATTGCCATCAGAAGAAGCGGTACTCTCAGCTATGCAGAGAGAGGGCTGCAGCAGCCTCCAGCAGGGCTAACATTAGCTTTTTAACATTAGCAGGGCTAACATTTGTCATTTTGTATACATAAGCCTAAAGAAAAAGAAACGTTGTTTAGAACAGCTCTCTAGACAATTTCAATAATTAAAAAAAAAAACATTGAGATATTAAGTCACTATATCTAGCTCTGGAATGCGCCTCTTTCATGTTTGCTTGGCAGCAGTGATGTCAGACGGACCTGGATAGGATCTTAGCATCCAAATGGGATTTTTACCCTGATGGAAGAGGATCTGATGCTGGAGCATTAGGGGCCTGTTTCCTGGGCTTCACCCATCAGTTGTTGTTGAGCTGCTACTACTGCCTCCAGCTCCTGAAGCACTCGCTTCTCCTGGCTCAGGGGAGGAAGAGGAGGATGATGACGATGCTGTGAGGGTGGTAGCCCCCTGGGTTGAAGAGGCTGACGTGGTTGAAGCAGCAGTGGTTCCATCTGTGGGTTTAGCAGCGACAGACGATGCCGGAGAAGGTGTGGAAGCCGGAGGGGGGTGGGAGGAGCCGGCTGGGGATGTTTCAGCATTTGGCAGGGACGCATCTAGAGTGCTCTGCTCATTTTCACCTGCAGAGGGCAGAGCTTCCCCTCTAGATGCTGAAGATTGCCTGGGAACAGTCTCAGAGGAGCCTCAGTTCAAGCAGAGCTCTTTGTTCCTATTGGCGTGGTACAGCAGCAGCCCCCCCAAACCAACAGCAACGTCCAGTACTGCTGGACGCAGCCATGACTCTGTCAGAATGATGGTGCAGCAGTTACTAATCTCCTTTTTGAAGAGAGTTCGAGTCAGAGATTATCCATTTTGTTTTCCAACGAGCGGACATTGGAGAGGATTGATGGAAGCAGAGGTCTGTGGGGATTTTTCTTTAGCTTCACAGTCAGCCCCCCTCTGCAGCCTTGCTTTCTCCGCCTTGTGCATCTCTTTCACCGTCCGTTATTTTCAGCTGTGGTTTTGTTGACATCCGTCCGTAGCACTCTGCAGCTTTTTAAATGATTTGCCTATCAGGTGAAGACTGGATCAGCAAATTTTCAGCAATTGAAAGAAGTTCCCGGGGGGAAAACAGGCTGTACAATTTGTCTTTTTTAAAATAAAGACCGTACACATGGTTAGCTAAAAGCCTGCCCGCGACTTTGTGTCACATGTTTAAATGGACACCCTTATGAATGATAGAAACATCCCAGCTAAATATGGTTTAATTCCAATGTTTGTACCCTTCCTGAGATCAAATATAGGCATCGAGTTTTCTACTGTCTAAAGCTAAGTTCAGACCAGGCACATTCTGGCCGCGTCCAGCGGGAGCGTCGGGAGAGCAGAAAAACCAAGTAGAGCTGTAACAAGGAATTGATCAAACTGATAAAAATCAACCGTTATTTTATTATCGATTAGTTGTGTCGTGAGGTTAACAGTGATGGGAGTAATGGCGTTAAAAGTAACAGCGTTACTAACACCGTTACCTTTTTTTAGT